CCCCAAAACCCCAAAACCCCTCATGATAAGATTGATTTTCAATATTGAGGATTACTAGAAATATTAATCATAAAACAAATTAATTAATAAAATACTAAAGGAATAGTTTTACCTCGTAATAATAATAATATCAAAAAATAAGCTTAATTTATAAAATAAATAACTACAAGTTTAATTAATTTGTTTGATAATTACAATTAAAATGTTTACTTCTTAAAATAATCACCTAATGGCTTCTACATCATCAATAATCATTACTGCCCTTATATTATCACTTTGATTTTAAATAGTATCGACCCAGGAAAATAACTGTAAATAATTATAACGATATTCAATCTTTATATAGGTGATGTAGATGAGTTTTACTCTAATAAGGCATTTTCTTGTTAAAGTATCATTTATTTGCTTCAATTAGGACATCATTAAACTTTTAGAATGTTCTAATTTTATCTATGGATGCAGATTTTGTACTGAAGTGACTTAAGGTTTCGACTACTTTGTCCAGTGTCAAGTCTGCAATGATGGACTATATTTATTGACAAATTCAACTGAAAACTCACTGTTTCCATCATAGTTTACATTTTGTGTCTCCGATTGCTCATCTGCTCACTATCAATTTATAAACAACCCATTGACATAAAAATGCCAAGACTGTGGTAGGTTTTGTAAATCGTGCAATCTGTAGTATGGTTGCGAGACTTGTGCACCTCAGCAGGCTGGTAATAATGGTTGGGTAAATGCCTATGATTAAACCGCAATATTCTCAGATTAATTAAAAAAATGCAGCCGTAAGTTGATGTATCAAAATATCCTAGTATATCTTTTATTAGCTCCACTCCAAAAATAAATTTATAATTCTCAAAATGCACATAATTATTTTTATCACTATAGCTTGTGAAAATAATAAATATTGCTTGACATGTGATCCAAATAATACTTCTTAATGCTTGCAATGCACTCCAGAATTTTCACCTACCTGTACTTACAATGAAATAGATGCTATACTAGACAAGTGTATTTAGGGCGATATAGGTAATTCTATGAATTGCTAGATATGTGAAGATTGATATTTTTCAAACTCTAAAAATACTTGCTCCTCTTGTAAGATAGATGACTGTTTAGAATGCAATTCAAATTACGAATGTGAGTTATGTGATGTCAAAAGTATTATAAAAGCTACATTTCAAATTGATTCTGGAGAGTATAAGAATAAGTGTTAAGGTAAGTATAAATTCCCTATAGAAATGTCTAAGAAGTTAGTTCATATCCTATAAATTGAAGCTTTTTTTGCTAAATAATCATTTGATAGATTGCAATTAAGACATTAATGGATACAGCATATATTACTAAGACTGTGCAAGCTGTATAATAGATCCAGCAAATGATGCATTAACTATTTGCACCTCTTGTATGAATGGCTTTCTAGTAAATGGATCTTGCCAATCTAAATGGTATTATTTTCTATTTCAATTTATATAATCATTAAGCCCATAAGGTACATATCCAGAGTTTATATTTGGTGCAAGAGGCATTCCTATCAAATCATTCTGCTCTAGTAAGAAATAATAATTAATCTCTTAAACGCCTAGATTGCCATCCAGCTTGCGAGGAATGCAGTGGACCATCTGAAAATGAATGCACAAAATGTGGGAAAAATTATTATTTAGCGTACTCTTCAAGTTGAGTATCCTAGGGGAGCTGCTTTCAAAAATTTTAAACAAATCAATCATACCAGCTATATGTTACTGCTTCTGATAATTCAAATAGATATACTAATCCTTTTTAATCTTTAGATGATGCTCTTCATAGATCTTAAGAGTTATGTGCGCCTTCAATAGACATCTGTAATGTAGAGATTAATCTCTATAAGGGTGATCATTACATTTTAAGAACAAGTACAAATTTTTATTAGCCTTCTTTATATGCAGAAGGGCATTAAAATATGAGAATCTCTATCTAACCACATTTTTGTTCAAATAATAATACTGATACAGAAATTTGCCTGGAAGATGATGAGCATGTGACTGTATATAATAAACTCCGAGACCAATTTTAATTATTAGTAGGTTCAGGACTGATGCTTAAGAATATCATTATTGATTGGATTGATTCATTGATCCTCCGTAAGAATAAAATACTTTTCCAATATTTGAAATTATATAGCATCTCATGATAGTGGAAATTGCTTGAGCTAGAAAACATAATGTTGTTCAGTCCAATTCATCTATTATGAATTTACTGATAATGGAAATTTTGGTTGCAATAGTTCCTTTAAATCGTAAATATATGCTAATATAGTTTTATTCTTTTAGGACTGAGTAATGCTAAATTTCTGATGGATTTTCATTTATTAAGTTTGATATATCACAGAAAAGAATACTTAGTAAACCTCCTACTTTGACCCTCTCAGTAATTTTTCAACTTATATTAATTTAGAATTGCATATTCCGAAATATTTACTTCAACTATAACACTTTTATTGAAACAAACCAATATGGTGGTTACATTGAGATAATTAATTCGAAGTTCGAAAGGTTTTCTACTTGTGGAGCAGTAATAAGGAATTTTAAGTCAATTTTTAAACAGGAAAACAGAAAATCTACACAGTAATCAGCTGATATTTATTTAAACAGGCTGAATGAGCTTTAATCTATTTTATTGACTGAAGAATTATTAAAATCAACTCTTGAATTTTCACCTTACTCTGAAGTTTGCTCAATTGAATAATCAGATACTTTACCTGAATGCTTTTCCATATTAGTCCAAAATGCAAGCTTCATTCAAATGAATCATTTTGTCAGCAAATAGAATGAAATGGTACAAATCAGATCAACATATAATATGATTAATTAAGGGAAGATACTGCATCTGATAGATTTTCGTGGAAATGTTACAATACTAGATAATAAGTTCCTAAATAATACTTTAGGGTTTGAAGATTGCTCTGCTTCAGCTGAGATAAGTGGAATTTTTAAATATGATTCATCATCAGATGATTATAGTATCTATGGTGAAAAAGATAAATATCAACTCAAACATCTTATTTCTATTTAAGGGCATTTACATGGGATTCATATAATTGGAAATACCTTTTCATAAAACACAGTTATTAAAGGTCTAATAAATATTTAAACAGAAGAAAATCTATAATAGGGTGCTAATTCTATACTAATAGCTAGAAATACATTTACCTAAAATGCAGCTTATTTTTAAACAGTAGGAATACATATTAGAATGAAGTCAACAAAATAAAATCAGATTCCTATTACAAATTCTAGTTTATATTGTACTGGGATCTCCATTCAGTAAAATTACTTTGAGAAAAACTTTGGGTGTGCAATTTATGGTGGTTCAATTATTAATATAGAGTGTTATAATCCTAGTAGTAGCAGTTCATTTGGGGTTTAAGATGATTTAAATAAAAATGCTGCTGTTGACCTTACAATTTAATCATACTATAAAAACTTTGATTTTCAAACGATTTCTGTTTAAAATGTAGTCCATATTGAATATAATGGAGACAAGCTGTTTATTGACCTTTATAACGTGACATTAAAAGGTAATACATACATTTAAAATTATGCTGGCAACAAGGATGGATTAATTACAATATATGGAGTAATGAGAGTAAATATTGCTTCAGATAATTTTGTACATAATGGAGAAAATTCGAATGATATTATACCTATTTTCAACAAGTTAGATAAAGAGAACTATGAATTATTGCTAATAAAAGAAGATAAAGTTAATTAGATAGCTCAAGCATTCAACTATTAATTTCAGTCAACGAGTAATAACGGAGTTACATCATTGGATTATGAAAATTATCTTCTTAAAGCTTAGATATACTTGTAACTAATAAATCTGATAGTGCTTGAAGATATTTTCTCTGACGGATTTTAAAATCTATAATCAAGATACTCCTCAGACAAAGGTATCTTTTTATACATGGAATAATTCTATGGATCAATCTATATCACTAACAATACTGTTTAGAACTAAGTAGGCTTAAATAATGAATATTTGACCAAAGAACTTGGTTTGTTTAGCTCCTCTAATGTCACAAGTAATAATTAAATGAATAATAAATGTAATTAAACTTTTCTTTTAGAATTAAAGACTTACGGAGGATTACATCCGATTTATGCTTTAGAAGAAAGCTGCGAGCTGGGAGGATTAATCATTGATGGATTATATATATTCAATATAAATTTCTTCTAAAAAGGAGATGCCATCCTTGATTATAGTTATATATTTAGGTTCAATCAGTAAGTGATTCCTATCCATTTTAAACATTAATTAGAAGGATAATCGACACTAGTGTTAAGCCTTCGTATGACCCAGCTAACTATATTGAAATTCAGAGACTAGTGATGGATAAAGCTAATTGCATAAATTGCTGGGGCCACACAAGTTTATTTTACTTTTATGTGGATAATATAACTTTAAACAACATAAATATATCAAACATCAATCAAAATGTTCCAACCAATGCATCACTTAACTTTTTAGAAGCATCCAATAAAATATTTGTTATAACTATTTCAGATAAAAACACATAGTACCAAGATACTATGAAGATATTATAAAACTCTAGATTTGAAAATATTATAGGTGATTAAGGTTCAATTGCTTTATTATTTTCCTATGATGGCGGGCT